GCTTAAACACGACCCAATCGTACAAAGCAGAACTTTCTAGCTAACTAACTCCTGAAGGCAATCCAAACCTTTTAATGACCTGAAAAACCCTACACAGCTAAAATAAAAGCACCGTAAGCAAAACATTTTTAAGCCCTGGGTTGCGTGTAGGCGAAGCAGGAACATTTGGGGCAGAGCCTTCCATCGGCACCGGAACGCGCAGCCCCTGTGCTCCAGCTGAACTCCAGCAGGAGGAAGGAGCTGAGATCCTGCAGGGCTGCAGAACAGCTCACAAAGGAGCCTTTCAGCTACACAACATAACTTTTTTGTTGGGTTTCTTTTTAATTTTATTTGTGAGTTTTGGGGAGGCGAAGGGGAAGGAGCACAACATTTTCCTTTCTTCCTCAATGCAACACAGTGGGGAAATTTCTTACCTACATTTCTGGTTTTATGCAGAACACTTACATGGGGATTTCCGTGCCTGGATCTCAGCTTTCAGGGGAAAGCAGAATGGGAACTTGTCCTTGTGAGGCTGCACGTCCTGAAGCAGAGCTGCCTCAGCCCTTCTGCAAACTGCCAGAGCAGTCGCAGCCTGAAATTCTCCAGCCAATGCTCAGCACCACAGGGAAGGTTCAATAAACGAAGAAAATGCCCAGTTTTATAATACAAACTCCCCTGCTCCTGAAGGCAGACAAGAAAAGAAATCAGCCTCAAGAACATGGGTCACCTCCAATGCAGCTTGTCTGCCATGGAGAGCTGGAGTGGAGGCAGATGCAGCTATAAAAAATATCTAGAAAATTTCTCAAAAAAATGTTCATCACAAGAAAAATGTGATGTTGCCTGGGCAAAACTCTTCATGTGGAGCTGAACAGCTCAAAGGATGAGAAGATATTAAGTTCTGCACAGGGCAAAACAAGCAGTGGATAAGGATGGATTGACTGCACGAGCAGAGACGGTGACAGACCTTCATCCTGCTGTAAGGCTCAGGTGGGCCCGGGACACAAAAACCAGCTCAGAAATAACCCAGGTCAAAGCAAGGACAACTAGAGGCCCCAAACCTTGCATTTTGTGTCACTGAATGGTGACAGACAGGCTGATGACACAATGTTTTGTTTGCCACAAAGGTCCAAAGCAGATCAACACCAGTTTCTCTGCTCTCTCCTGGCCTGAGCCTTTTTTGTCTCCTGCTCTGTCACCACCCAGGGCTGGCCAAGGCCTGTTAGTGACACAGGAACCACATGGACAAGCAGAGAGGAGACGCCTGGGATGGGTTTGTGATTGTATCCTTCAGCAAATCACAAACAGCAGCTATTGCTGCTGGAATGGCCAAAAAACCTAAAGAGAAGGCAGGGGACTCAGTTTGTTCTAGCTCCTCTGATGCTGAGCTGACGAGTCTCCCAGGATCAGTTTAACTTTGGGAAAGGCAGATGCTATATGACTGATGGGTGGCCAGACCTTGGGAAAACCATCCTGTAAAGAGGGAATCCAGGTTCTGCCATGGCAGTCAGGCTCCTCGCTTGCCCAGCCAGAAAGAAATGGCTGAAAGATTCAGGACTGGAGTTTCTGGCAGCTGAGAACTGCACGGACTGGGCCAAGGGAGCTCACATTGCAGTGCTTCGAGGAAAGCAGCCCTGGGAGAGCTGGCTGCCAGTGCCCTGGCACTGGATCTGAGACACAGACTGGAGATCACAGGGGGAACAGGAACATGCAGGCTTTTACCCTCAGTGCAGCAATCCCACCACGTTATCCCACGTTTCTCACCCTGGGGCAGCACTGGCCCCTTCTCCTCTATGAAGCCTTGGGGCAATAAAAGCATCTTTCACAAAAATCCCCTTCACACCTGCAGTCTTCTGCCATCCCAGCAACATTCCTGGTCCAGTCCATGCACACCTCACACTGGATAATATCACACAGAACTTTCCTCCAAAGAATCCTTTGTTCTTTTTTCCTTCCTGTCCTTAACCTTTCACTGCAGGTTATTCCTCTGCAGCCAGGCACACTCTGCCCAGTGCCTCAGCTTCCTGGAAGAAGCCCACTGCCACAGCTGCATCATGTTTGCAGTTTCATTTCTTGCTGAAGACTGTAGATGAATAAATAACTCATTTGTATTTTTATTGTCTTAAGGCAGTTTGAATGCACTTTAAATGTTAATACTACATGAATCCATTTACAGTAACATAAACCAACACTTTCTAAGTATCACAGATATAAATTCTGCTTCTCCATCAGTGATGTGAGAATTAGTGATAAATTTCCACATTCAGAATTTTGAAAATTTTCATCTTCTGCAACTACACATGATAAAGACCTTGGAAGCAAAAGGTAAAGGTATGTCTCCACTGAGTTCATGTCAAAACTATGGATATCAAATGTACAGGTCTATGTTGATGCACCCACATAATTTAATGTATTTCTTCATTTCATTATCAATATATTAATGAATACAAATTAATCAGATCATAGACTAGGAGGTGACATCATACTAACAGAGCTCCTAAAATTCCAGCTGAATTAAAGATCCCATGGTGCTTGGGGAAGAGAAGCAAAATAAAAGCAATCCTTGTCTCACATTTAAATACTACAATTATTATTGCAAAATTGTTGCAATGCTGTGATGTAATGGTAAAGCATATTCCTGTTATTTTAGGAATTTTTTTCCTTAAGCTGCAGAGTCAAGCTACATTTAAAGGACTTTAAGGAATTTTGCTGGTATTTAGAAAAGAAATACCAGCATGGAAAAACAATTCTGTGTATGCAGAGGTACAGAAGCAGCTCTGTGATATTAAACAGCACATAAGGAATATGCAGCCATGCAATTAAGGATGTATTATGACACTGTGACAAACTCTGAGCAGTTAAGGATTCATATTCATTTCTCAGCTGTGCATGTGCTGACTTTTGAGAGTTTGAGCATTTAAAACTTAGTATTAGCCTTCATTATTGATGGATTTTCAACCCCTGGTTACACCTGAGGATCTAAAGCAGATGCCTCTGCCAGCCTGGTACAGTGACTCCAGTGCTCACCTCAGGGGACAGGAGACAAGCCCAGGGAAAGGCTCAGGAGGAGCTGGATTGCAGTCCCTACTATTCTGTATTCCAGAGCTCCAAATCCTGCAAACTATACTTTGATTGAATAAACCACCTCAAACTTTCACATTTCTGCAAGTAAGCAACATTGGATTGTTCAGTCTTACAGAAAACCCAGATCAAGCCACTCCTGACCAAGCACGAGACTTTTCATGCACACAGAGCATTTGGGAAGTGACCTCAGCTGTCAGCAGGGGCACAGGGGCAGCTCAAGGAGCATTTTGATTTGAACATAAAAATACAGCAGTCACAATGCCCATGTCTGATTTATATCCTCCCAGGCTGACTTCTCAGGGATGGATGGAACTCCCAGCCGGGCAGGAGTGCAGAGCACCTCAGGGAGATGCCACCACACAGCTGGCACTGGGACCTGCCAGTGAAACTGATCTGAGCTCCCCCTGCACACAGGGATGCCCTCCATGCCCTGGGCAGTAAATACCACCCTGAACACAGAAGCTGCTCCTGACCTGGGGAGAAACATTGCTGGAGTAAAGAGTCATAAAGCTGAGACAGCCCCAGAGTTTATCACTGGGCCCCTCTCAGTGGGACACTGCAGAGAAGAATTACTGCTTACCAGGGAAGCAGCAGAGCAACCTGCAAGACCTTCCTGAAAATAGACCTAAAATCACAGAATAACCGGAAAGGGACCCTCCAGGATCATCCAGGTGTCCAACTCCTGTCCCTGCCCAGGACACCCCACCAACCCACCCTGTCCATTCCTGGCAGCACTGGCCAAAGGCTCCTGGAGCTCTGGCAGCCTCGGGGCCGTGCCCATTCCCTGGGCAGCCTGGGCAGTGCCAGCACCTCTGGGGGAAGAACCTTTCCTGCTCTCCAGCCTGCCCTGCCCTAATCTGTGTTATCCCAGGATTCCCGAGATTCCAGGACAACTGAGATACCTCTGTGTGCTCGCACGTGGGTCTGGAAACAGTTGTAATACTTGTATTTCTTCCCACATATTCCACACTCGTAAGACCCTGAAAAACAAGAGAGAGAAGCACACATCACCGTGAGAGATCAGGAAAACAGCCTCCCTGCACACTGGTCCATAAACTGCGAGCAAAAGGCTGCACTCGACAGCAAAGTAATTTTTGGAAGGTTCATGGAGATAAATACAGAAGATCACTATCCCAGACTTATTTAAGATTCCTTGGCATATTACCCTGAACTTACATTTTCAGTGTATCTTTTTAACTTTGCTAACGTGAAAGGGCCACTCTCAAAATAGCCTGACTTATAATTTTATAATAATGACTAATGTTTCCTATGGACAGAAATAACCTTGAATTACTTTTCAGTAAGTTCCTAGTAGCTGGGAAAAAATCCTTTTCAACTGAAAAAAAAAGGCAATATGTTATCTTGAGGCCTGGAGTTTTCAAAATTTCTCAAGAAATGCACAACGTACAAATTTCCCAAGAAACCCACAGAGATTTGGTAAATATCCACCCAGAGGAAACCAAACATATACAAATAGAACTTTTGCCCTTTTTAAGGAAAAGCACATGACCACAGTAGTCCCTCTTCTCAATTTGTGTCTCTAATTCCAGAAAACACACATCTGCAAACAGTCATTTGAAATGAAACCAGAGGAAAAGAGCTGGAAGAACCATTTGTAATGATGAAGTCATGCAGTGAATTTAGACTCTTCTGTTATTGAACAGACAGATAGAAATTTCCTTATATTTGTTACTTGAGTTTATTCAATCTCTTTTTTTCCTACTTCACTTTGTTGCACAGTCTACAATTCACTTTCCCGGCTCTTGTTTGCAGAATGCACTGCATTTGTTAACTGTCCACTAGAGCTGTGGAACTGGGATCCCCTTGATGCTCTTTGGAGAGGGTGAGAGCATCACTTGACTGAAGAGGAGGTGGGAGAAAAAAGGGCTGAATTAATTTGGTAAGAATGCAAAATTCCATTTCCATGCACCTTTCCTCACACAACCTTGAAACAATCTTTTCCTCACCATGCCAAACAGCAAAACTCAGGGAGGAGCCATAAATGAGAACAAAAACATTGACATACATCCAGATAAACATTACCAAGCAGCATTTCACAGCAACACTCACCTGGAGCTACACAAAGTGAGCTCTTGCCAGGAACAAACCCAGGGTGCTGTCTGAACACACTATGCCCACGGTCCTTTTTCTCCTTCCCATGTCCCATTCTTACAACTTGGGAAGAAAACACCCCCTTAGAGTGTGAGAGCCCTGAATTCCCTGCCCATCACTGATGGCACCACCTGGGGCTCTGTCCTGAGCTGGGGAGGCTCCTTTGTCACTGATGCTGAAAGAGCTGATACACCAGAGTACTCAGCTGAAAAAATACTCACATATTCTGATAGCACAGGCACTTGGCTGTATCTGATCTGCTCCAGAGCATTTTTATTATCACAGCTCACTGTATTTTATATAGATACACATCTGTGGGACAGTCACCACTTTGGTCACTCCACACAGGCTGCCTGAGTGGAGCTATCAGCAGGTCAGCAGTGTTTGGCAGCCCTCATTCCCATGCTCAAGGACTGATTATTTTCACCACCAATCTCCAAAATTCTATTTTGAAAGCTCTTGGAGATGGAGCCCCAAAGCAGCAGATGAGAGAGAGCACTCAGCATGCCCTGGGCCCTGCAAACAGGAGCCCTGAGCACAGCTGAGGTTCAGCTGAACCAACAGCAGGATGTGACTGATGCTCACCCACATCCCAACAGTGCTGGCTGCACATGGAGCACTGGGAAGAGTTGGGATGGCTCCAGAGGAGGCCATTGAGTTAATCACAGGGCTGGGGCCCTCAGAGTTCCTTCCAGGAGAGCTGGACATGGACTTGGGACAAGGGATGGAGGGACAGGACACAGGGAATGGCTCCCCACAGAGGGCAGGGATGGATGGGATATTGGGAAGGAATTGTTCCCTGGCAGGGTGGGCAGGCCCTGGCACAGGTGCCCAGAGCAGCTGTGGCTGCCCCTGGATCCCTGGCAGTGCCCAAGGCCAGGCTGGACAGGGCTGGGAGCAGCCTGGGACAGAGGAAGGTGTCCCTGCCATGGCAGGTCCCTTCCAGCCCAAAGCATTCTGTGATTCTATGAGTTGGTGCAAACAGGTCAAACACAATGAGGCGCTATAGGCTGAACTTTTTTCCCCGGGTTTATTGTATTTCCTACTTCCTCTGGAGACAGTCTATGGCACTTAGATGCACTGGCTGTGCAGAAGTTCTCCACGAAGGTGAGCTGAGCAGGTAGCTGTGCAGTGCCTTCCTCTGCACTGTGGACCTGAGCAGAGGCTGCAGCCCTCGTGCAGGAGCTGTGCTGGACACCAGGGGCAGGAGCTGAGGAACCACGTGTCCCAGGCCAGGGCTTTTGTGCAGGTGTCCTGAAGCTCCCAGGTCTCAAGTAGAACCCAGGGAAGGCTGGAGTCAACTTTGAGGGGGACACCTGCACTCACCCTCTGCCCTCAGGTGGTAGAGCAGTGCCCCAGGAGCACAGGGAGCTGGGGAGGGTGTGAGGGAGGTGTGTTACAGACCTGAGGCATGGCCACAGCTCAGCAGCCACAGCTCTGTGCTCAGCTCACCACACACCCTCCCATTAGACAAGGGAGGGGTGACTTGCCACAAAAAATGTGCTGTTAGAGGAGAGGAAAGGTGAAGTGGAGGAAGAAGGACATCACTGTGTTAAGGCCTTGCAGAGAACATGCCCACGTGGCCTTGGACAGCAGCAGTGAGGTCCTTCTCCACTCAGGGTGTGTCATGCAGGTCACAGCTGGTGGTAGCAGGAGGGGAGGTAGGGAAGGTTTGGGGTTAGTTGATGCACTCAGTTGGGCCAGGCTTTTCCTGAGCCTTGCAGCTGGAATCTGGGCAATGCACCCATTGCTTCCAGAGCTTCCTTTGCTCCCTGAGCCCTGGTTAGACTTTCACACCCTTCCATCACATACCGGACGTGTATCTCAATGCATGGTCAAAAATCCAGGTCCCTGAATATCGATTTCGTGTATATCCAACGGAAGAGTCACGTTCCACTGCTTTTCCATCTAAATTGTGCAAAAAGAAATCAGAAAAAAGCCCTTAAAGTGGATGCATTTCCAAGGAATAATGATGGCTGAAGCCTATTAAAAATTTCCAAGACCCATCTGTCCCTGTGGCTTTCTGACAAGATGTCAGAGGTCTCACAGAGTTTCTTGAGGCTTCTGCAGTACTATTTTACCTCACCAGGGAGAATCCAAAGTGCTCTTGAATTTCATATGCTGAGCAGCTCAGCGAGCGAAATATCAGCACCATGGCATGAACCCAATGTGTGCCTGGGAGGTGGACAGAGAGGCTCAGAGCAGAAGGATTCTCTCTTCACTCTGTCCCAGAAACATTTCTGATTTAATGCATTACTGGAAAAGTCCTCTCCAAAATGTTTCTTGTAAAGCACCAGACTGGGAGAGCAGATTGAGAGCTTAAGGAGTCTTGTATCAAACTTCTCCTGATCAGTTCAGAGATAGTTCAGTCTTCCAGGACACAAATACTGATCTGATGCTATTCCCAACAGGAGGAAATTATCCACATCTAATAAACAGTCTCCCCCTCTTCCTCCCCAGTTACAACACAAGTGCCCTTTGCTTTTCCTCTCCTCTCCAGACAGCTCCATGGGACTTCTGTGCCTGTCTGCCCTGACTTCCCTGCCCTCAGAAGAATCCATGCGCTGCTGCTCTTCAAGGGACCCTGGCCTGAGGTCAGCACGTGAATCTTGCCAGAAGAAAGAAGAGAAGAACAGGAAACGTGGCACCTCTGAGCTGTGCAGGGCAGGAACCCCCACCCCAGGGCTGGGACACCCAGGGTACTGTGGGGGTCCAGGGGGGTGCAGGGGCGAGTGGGGGATCCACAGCAGCTGCAGCTGACAGGAGCCAGGTGAGAGCCAACCTCTCCACTGGTTTCCTCTGCTTGAGATGCCAGAAGGGGATCTCACAGGACTGAAACTTCTGTGGAAAAGCAGCTGAGAGGAGAATGGTCCAAACCCACAAACAGCTCTTTGGCTGGGGGATCGTGGCCACTGTTCCCAACCATCTCATCCAGTACAGCCCCTTCCAGCCCCCACAGGGTTTGGGATGCTCCACACAGATGGAGGCAGTCTGGAGTGGCTCGAAGTGCTGGGAGAGACAGGAACTGGTGCAAACGGGAGGCAAAAAACACAAGGCCTGGTTTGATGTAAACACTGCAAGGGAATAGCAGCAACTGAGCTGGGAATCCCTTTTATAAATTGCTCCAAGTAACAACTAAAATATAAATAGAGCAGATGTGTGACTCAGAAAAGAGACATAAATCTTGTAATGTGCATTTCAGCCTCATCCCAAGGCTGAGCCCTGCAGGGAAGCTGTCACTTGGAGCCCCGTGTGCCCTTCAGCACCATGGGCCCAGCTCAGACACATCCCCCATTTAATCAGCTGTCCCCAGCACCCCCTGAAAGGAGACAGGCTGGAGGGTGGCAATTCCACGCAGAGGAGAGGGTTCATTCACTCCTGAGTTACCACTTCATCAGGATTTGCTATTAAAATAACCATTTTTAACACCTCCAGTCTCAGCTGCCCCAGTGAAGGTGAATAAAATCCTACCAAAGCCTTGCCTGTCTGCATAGAGGAAGGGATTCAGATACAGGGTGCCCAGATCCCAAGGCAAGGAAAGCTCCTGGAAGTGCTGGGAGCAGCAGCAGAGTAACAAAGCCTTTGCTCCGGAGGCAGGAGGCACCAGCAGCATCAGCAGGTCACACTTTTGGGCTGCTCCAGTGCAGCACCTGGAATGGCCAGTGAGGAGCTGGAAGGGCCAGTGGAGCAGTGGCACATGGGGCACATTCCTGGTGTGAGGTACCCCGGTGAGTGCAGAGATGGGCACAGTGTGTGACTTGCATGGGGGGATGGAGGGGAGCAGGTGCCAGAGCTCAGCAAACACAAGGAGCTGGGCACACGGGCTGTGAGCACAGAGCACAGGTCCTGATGGCCAAACAGGAGTTATTCAGAGCCACCTCCCCAAAAACAAAGGTCATGTGAATGCCAGACAGGGGCACTTCCAGGGCTCTGTTCACAAAGGAATTGGCATCAACCCCTATCACCTCCTGACCAAACTGCCTTTAAAGAAGCCCAGGCTTTACAATGACCAATACAAGGCCACTGGAAAAGGCCCTTCCAGACAGAAGCTCTCCAGTTTACATGGCTTTCAACCACCACTTGCAACTGGTCAATGAATCTGTCCCTCTCTCCACAGTGTGCATAAATTGTGAGTGTCCCCCTCACACCAGTCTGTCCCCAATGCTCTCCACAGGGACAACACAGAATCACAGAACCATGGAACAGCCCGAACTGGAGGGACCCTCCAGGATCATCCAGCCCCTGGCCCTGCCCAGATCCCCCAAAATCCCACCCTGACCATCCCTGGCAGCGCTGGCCAAAGGCTCCTGGAGCTCTGGCAGCCTCGGGGCCGTGCCCATTCCCTGGGCAGCCTGGGCAGTGCCAGCACCTCTGGGGGAAGAACCTTTNGGAGCTCTGGCAGCCTCGGGGCCGTGCCCATTCCCTGGGCAGCCTGGGCAGTGCCAGCACCTCTGGGGGAAGAACCTTTCCTGCTCTCCAGCCTGAGCTGCCCTGGCCCAGCTCCAGCCGTGCCCTGGCTCCTGTCCCTGTCCCAGAGCAGAGCTGGAGCTGCCCCAGGGAGGAGCTGCAGCCCCGGGGAGCTCTGCCCTCAGCCTGCCCCAGCTGAACCATCCCAGTGCCCTCAGCTGCTCCTCACGGGCCCCTCCAGCCCACCCAAGTCAGCCAAGAGCAAAAGCCCCTCCCCACTGCACAGCAATGCAGCCAAGCTCAGCTGGAAACCAGCACTGCCAGAGGACACCGACTGCAGAGCAGCTGCTGCTGCCCAGCCAGGAGCTGTGGGGACAAGAGGCTCCTGTGGGACAAACAGCCAAGCTCAGATGCTTTCACCAAGGGCTGGTGGCCATGGCTGGAGGAGAAGCTTCCATTGCTACTCATCAGTCACAGCTCCACCTCTCCCTCCCAGGGCACCAGGGATGCTTTTCAGCTTTGTCCATGTAATGATCAAGAGCAGCAGAGGCACAAAAACTCTGAAAATACACAGAGTATTTCTTCCAAACGGTAAAATCTTAATGTCAGAAATAGTTTTAGACGTCTTAAGCTTTCCCTAGACCTGCACAGAGAGCACTGACCTCCTGCCCTGCTGTTCTTAGTAGCTGTCCTGTGGTGGAAAGGAGGACAGGAAGAAAAATGATGCATCTGAGACAATCACCAGCTAAGGACATCTCCTGGATTTCTTTCCAGCAGTATGGATAATGATCAACAAAACCCAGGAGAAAATCCAACATCAATTCCTTTTCTCTCCCCCTGCAGGACAAACCAACCCCAAGTGCAATGCTGGGCAGCTCAAATCAGACTTCTCCTGAGTCCCTTAAAGGAAGCCTGGTCCAACTGCTCCTCCTTCTTTTTATTAGCAAATGAATTTGGATCTCAGAGACACTGCAGGGACCTGCTCCAGGCTAAGGACATCAGAGACACTGCAAGAGTGGTGCCTTGCCAGATTCCCAGAGGAAGTCCCTTCCCTGGAGCAGGAGGAGAGGACAGTTTGATGTTCACAGAAGAAAGAAAAAGCTTCTTCTCATCACAGCAGGAGGTGGGGTGGGGACAGGAAGCACTGTTTTGAACAGGGCACACCACAGCCAGCCCAGTCAAAAGTATTCCACAACTGCAGAGTGATCAGGAAAACAAACAACAACCTGTAAAACCTGCTCTTGAGCTCAGACTCATTTACAGAAAGCATCCACATTCCTCAGAGCAACTTTCCTCAAAACATCTCAGCTGTTTCTCAGGCTTTCCTTTCCAAGTTCCTCATCTGTGTCAAACACACCCCCAGCCCTGGGCTCATCAGGTGCTGCAGGCGACTTATGGGCAAGTCCCTGAACATGCCAAAAGAAGGTAAGATGCAAACAGACACAGGTGGTCAATAATCCTTAGCCAGGACCCCAAGACTGACGTTCACCCTGGCCCTCCAGCAGAGCTCAGTGTCCAGGCACAGCTCTCCAGAGGCTCACCCTGTCCCCACAGCCCCTGAGGGAATGGTGCCCGTGCCTCACCGAGCGTCTGCTGGTTGCGCACGCCGCCGATGACCACGCAGATCTCCGCGGGCACATCCCCTGGCCCATCCTTGATGCTCTTCTTGGAATCTTTGGTGTCGTCCTGCCAGATCACCTCCTCGATGTAGTCATCTGGTACCTCTGTCTTCACTTTCACCTCAGTCATCATTCCAGCCTCTTCACTGGGGGAGGACTGAGATGTCACCGAGTCGGAGCCCTCGGCTTTTGGGCTCTGCGGGCTTTCTCTCCTCTTCAAACACTCCCTGAAGGGGAAAAGAGAGGAGAGAATGTGAATCCTCAATGCCAAGTGCTCCTTTTGTCATCACCAGGACCTAATTCTAGGCATGGTTTATGCAGGTTATTTAAAAGAAGCATATTAATGTGTGTCTGCCATACATGATAAGTAATTAAAATTTAACTGGCAAAAGCAATAAAATGATTTGCTAGTAATGAAAATAACCTTAATCATCACAAACAACCGTAGTGCTCATAAACACACTGCACCCCTAAAGAAGAGCACAGAACTTGCCCTGGTTGCCAGCAGGCCACGGGCACAGCTCCAGCAGTTCTGACTGCAGGTATTTTGCCAACACTAGTCCATACACACAAAGCCATATTCTCCTGTGGCACTTGGGGACATGGGTCACTGGTGGACCTGGCACTGCTGAATTCAGTTTGACTTGATGATCTTCAAGGTCTTTTCCAACCTAAACGATTCCATGATTCCATTACACTTTTGATTTGGAGCTATCTCCACCCTGTATCACATCCTCTCTTTTATCCCTTCAAGCAACCTGACATCCCCTGGTATTCAGAGGCTTTATTGAACATACTCAGTGCTGATCAAAGGGGATCATCTGGAGAATGAGGATATTTTGGGAGACTACCACATTATGGACAGATAGAACAATCTGGGATGACAGGGAAAGCCTAATGGAGGGGGAAAGGCAGAGGAGGTCCACTGTGCTCAGAAATAGGTTAGGAAATAGCCTGTGTTTTCATCCGGGAAGAGCTGAGAATTTATGGGAGAAAACAACCTAAGCAAATATTTTAAACCCTTTAAGAAAAGGAAACTGGACAGCTCAAAACTGTAAAACAACATCAACAGGTGCTGTGGTAGCAAAAGGCAAAGGGGGTGTGAGACCACCAGACAATAATGTGGGAATAAGCCAATGGAGCTCCTTTAGCATCACTCATTATGGACCCCCAGCTTTTCATACTGGGTATGAATACACTCCACCATGCAATACAAAGATAAAATAATTGCTGGTTCAGTTTGTGCAGAAATCAGAACTAAATATATAATGGCTAAGACTACCCAGAAACAGAAACCACTGTGACATATTTAGAGTCATGTAAACACTGGGAGCAGCCAAAGGTATTTGAAAACATTTCAGGCAGAAGTAACAAAACTAAATGAAAAATAGACTGAACTTATGGATGATTATTAGATCATGCAACAGTGACAGAGAAAAAAAAAAAATCCCAAATTGCTTGCAACATCATAACGTTTGTCAGGACAAAGTATGAATTATAGTGTTAAAGAGCCAACACCTGCAGTGGGTTCTGACACAGGTTAAGGAGCTCACAGAGGAACCAGGACGGTGCAACTGGAGGTCAGGAGCGCCTGGGAGGACAGGGATAAGCAGAGGAACAGAGAGAACAATCCTCCAGTAATTACTGCCCAACGTCCCACACGGACATGGAGTCACTATTCAAACTGGGTCAGGCACATTCTATTGCCAGAGGTTTTATTATTCATCCCTCAATTCTCATTATGGAATGAAATGTACAATTAACAGCCCCTAAACAGAGAGAATTAGCCTTGACCTGCCTTCCCACTCATTTCCTGCCTTCTCACACATACTCCCCTATGCCGTGCTCCCAAAATCATACAGGGCTCTTACAAGTGAGAAAGATGGATTGAGACACAGATGTGGCTGAGATCTGGACAGTCCTTATGGCAATATTATTGGTATGCCACAGGCCCATCCATCTCAGCACCAGCACCCTTCCAAGGGAAGGCAGTGAGTACAGAATACTCAGGGATCAGAAAAGAGTGGGACTGACTGCAGATCATCAAACCCAGAAGGTGTGAAATGCAAAACACGGATAAAGGCAACAATAGGGTAGATAGGAAGATCTTTCCTTCCTCAGGCAGGACTGTGGAGGAAGATCAAAGCCAGCCAGGGCAGTTCCCACGGGGAGCCTGGGAGGTGGGAGAGGCAGTGAGAGCTCAGTTATGGATGGCACAGCAACCTGGACCTGCCAGTCCTGGGCAAAGCAACAGGAAAATCCAGGCATGAGCCAAGTGATCTGGGATTAGAAGCTGATACCAGTGGCAGTGCAATGAGGCTAGAGCCTTCTGAGGAGAATATAAAAAGGGCAAGAATACAATGACTTTTTGATGATGCCAGCTTTGCATTGGTCACATTCAAACACAAACCAAATCAGCAACAAGCCCCGTGCTGCGAGGCAAAGCTGTTCTCCATGTGCACTGCTCCTGAATAGAGAGGCATTCCCACAGGACTCCTGGAATGGCTGATGTGGGACAGATTTATTCATGCTCTGAAATTAAATTAAACACCACCGTTGCTAAAACTTATGGGTGGAGCCATGGAGGGGTGGATAGCAAAGACTGTGAACAGGACACTCCACCAGTGGATCCCTCTCTCCATAGCTGCCTGTGCCCAAGACCAGTGGCTGCAGCACAGTCAGACAAGCCCAGGACTGTGGATGCATGCAACTACAGAAAGCCACGCTCTGAGCTGAAGGACTGACCAAATTCTCAGTTCAGGCGCCTGAGATGGAAGGAGGAGATAATTTTCTCCCTGTCTGAAGCTGTGGTGAAGCCACTCCCCACGTGCTGCAGACACAGCGAGCAGCTTCAGGTTTCAGAGGTGATCAGAAAAGCTGAAGACGATTCCAAAATGCAGCACTGAAATGGTTCAAGATTGGGAAAAGACTTTGACTCTGTGAGACCAAATTGCTCCAGTCTGTTTCTCATGCCAAAAGGAAGACTAGAAGATTATTTGATTGCAGCATATCATCATCTTCATAGGGAGAAAATACTGTCTTGCCTTAACTTGGCAAGGGTGCAAGCTCATTGCTGGAAGCTGGAACCAGCTGAAATGAGGCACAAAACATAAGCACAGATGGTGGTCCACTGGAACAGCTGTTTTCCAAAGGATGTGCTCAGGGAGATCAGATCCCCCCGAGTTTTCAAACCCAGAGTTGTGTGTCTGGCTGGCCCCAGGTCCCTGGGCTCAGTACAGACATGCACTGGCCACGCTTGGTGGCCTGGAGCTGAGGGATATTTAAATTGTTAGACCAGACCAATGGACTCTCAGAACCTTTTTCCCTTCATGAACGCTGACTTTGTGGATCCCGCTCTGCCAAGAAAGGAATCTCCCAGCTGGAATGTCTGTTCCTGGGTGAGACCTAACCCTGCAAACATTAACTGACAGCAATTCATTGCCCCATATGTTCTAACTCTGAGCAGGTACCAGATGTGCAGAAGGACACAGCCCCAAATACTTCAGCAACTTTCTTCTACATGATTTCATGGCTCACAAGCCCTGAAAAGAGCCTGCTGTTCCCCTCAAAAACAAGTGAAACCATAAAAACAGCAGCAGTGACACTCCTGGGAGCAAGGCTGAGCTCTCCAAAAGCCACTTGGTGCCTTAGCTGGAGCTGCACAACTTTGGAGAGGAAGAGGAGGAAGAGGCAGCAGTGGTGCAATCCAGCTCTCTTGTGGTCCCCTGTGAAATCCAGGTCATGCTTCTGTGGCTAGAGCAAAACTAGGACCAGTTCAGGCTTTTCTGAAGCTCACTTGCTGAATGGGATATAAACGTTCCCAAGGGTCCAGGGGAGAGCTGGGCTCAGGGAATGATCCTCATGGCACAGCAGGTCATGGGACAGCAGAGTTTGAAGCCTCCTGGTTATGCTGGGGAAAGAGCACCAACATCCCAGAGCAAAACAGGAAGGAAAAGGAAGCTACTGACACTGGAAAGCTTCAGGCAGGATGGAAAGGAGGACGTACACAGCCCCAGCAGAACCAGTTTTCCTTGGAAGACAGGAGTCATCACAGCCTCCACCATGCACAGAATCAACCCACACGTGCACCGAGCCAGGGGAGATGACCCAGGTAAGCCACATTTCATTCCCAGTCCTTCAGTCCTTGGATCAACCCTTGCAAGCCCATGATGCTGCACTTGCTCAGTGTTGTGCTGATTTTACCTCCCCTGCTACTGAGCAGCACAAAGAACCTCCACTTGGAGACGAGGATAAAGCAGCAAGAGATCTGGAACATTGTTGTTCTCCAGAAATTCCCCGAGAGACACAGGGAGGGACAGGGAACATCCTACCTGGGGGAGGGAAGGCATCAGGCCTCAGCACTGCCATGGCCAGGCCTGGTTCTGCCACCCCTGTGCCATGGCAGATCTTCCAGAGCTGAGGCACAGCTGCTGGAAAGGCTCAGAAAGAGGATGAGCAACAACAGGAGTGAATTTTCAGTTCTGCAGCCCCCAAGGCTCCAAGCAGGTGTCAGAGGTTTGGGAGAGGGCACAGAGAGAAAAGGACTCAAAGCTTTCGGGGTGTCAGGTAAGTTCAGCACCAGTGCTGGGGGCAGAAGGACTCCCCAGTGTGACCCTGGCAGTGCCCACACAGACCTGCCCCAGCTGCCAGATCCCTGCTGGGGCACTGCTGGGGCACTGCTGGGGACACACTGGGACAGTGATGGCCAGAGCCTCCACTTGGTGGAGACAGCAGCGCACAGGAGCCAAGGGAGGACCTGCCAGAGTCACCTCCCACCACCAGGTCCCCCAGCCACCCTCTCCTGTGGCCCTGAGCTCGGTCCCCAGCCTCATGCCACCACCCTTGTGCATGAAACAATGCAGGTTCAGTGTTCAGTGTGGCCTTCCAGGGGTCAGCTGCACCTCCCTCTGCAGGTCCAACCTGCACTCAAACATCCATGGGCTGCCCTTCCCTGGGAAGAGGATATTCCTGTTCTCCAAACATGACACTGCATGCACAGGACAAAAACCGCTCAGAGCCATCAGGCCACAGAGGAGCAGAGTGCACAGGCACCGCTGGCTCATACCCTACCTCCTTCCACAGGGGGATCTAACTTCTCCATGGCTTTGGCCCCTCCCGGGAAATACCAACCTCCTTCACTGTTCCATGTCTTGTTTTTACTGAGCTGTGGGCCCTGCAATCCGAGAGACTCTTCCATGCTGAGGAGGCAGAAGCCTTGGATCACACA